GAATTGCTTTACCGCCTGCTTTACAGTTTCGGGCCATACGATGAGGTGAATTTTTGGTGATGAAAGATTTCGTGATGGAATAAATGTTGTGTTTTCAAGAGACCACACCCGAGCACACTCACTCAAAGTCGAAAAAGCGATAGAAATCGATAAAAACAAGCAAATTCGCAGCTAAGAAGTGAATGGACCTTATTTTGTCAATCTTTTCCAAAGCATTTTGGCTACCGGTTTCTAAGGCCCTTCTTGACGTCAGCAAAGGGGCTCATTTTGCTAAAGACAGAGGCAGAAAGAAGAAGCGAAAAAATGGCGCATTTAAATAAAATGCTGGTTTTGAAGAATGTTGCAAACTCGCCGCTTCATGAGCATTCGAATCGTGCAATTATCATTACGCGATACATTATCATTTTTCGATACTTCTGCGTCGAATTAGATGGCGTGTTTTTATTGGGACACCCTGTAGAGGAAATGAAGCAATTCTTAGCAGGACCGTTCAGACACATTCCCACGTTCCATGTTCTCTCACGATCCTGGACGAAAATTGCGGCGGGAAACAGGCAATTTTCGATTCGGCACGGATCGCGTTGATGGTGGTAGGTTACGCTAAGCGACATATTGTTGGCTGGAGAATTGGATCCGTTGTGGCACAGAACCCATACGCAAACTTTCAGGGGCAAGCCTTCTAATATATGGCTCGGGGTGCAGGCGAGGATGCCGAAAAGGCCTTGGCCGTGGCCGCCGGCGTGCTGTATGAGCAAATCTTTGTAAATGGCCTGGAAGGTACCCCTGATATTTTTGAGCCTCCCTTTTCAACGCCGCCTTATTCAAATTTTTCGATGAGGACCTTTTGTTGCAAATCAAAATCTGGCACCCTTTCCTGAACCGCAGCACCAGTTTTTTTTCACTGATGAAGTTCCGAATATTTGCAAACCCGCGCCCGAAATTTTCCGGCTGATTTTTGGCATGGTGGTGGAAAAACACATCCTCTTTATAAGTATGCATACATACAAACATACCTACATACCAACGCAGACCTCCCTCGGAACGCAATTTAAATCGGCTGTTAAAATTCGAAATTAACTTTTTCAAATTTGAAAAGCTGTAATATGCAAAAAGCGTCGCCGGTTCCGATGGTGTATTTATTTTACAACCCCCGGGGGGTTCCCCAAAGGGATGATGGGGGGGAAAGGGGGGGGGGGGGGGGGGGGGGGGGGGGGGGGGAGGGGGGGGGAAAAAAAAAAAAAAATCCCACCCCCAAACAAAAAAAAAAAAAAATAATTTTAAAAAAAAAATTTTATAAAAAAAAAAAATTCAAAAAAAAAAAAAACAAAAAAAAAAAAAAAAAAATTTTTTAGGAAAAAAGAAAAAAAAAAAAAAAACCTCCCAAACCCCCCCCAACCCCCCCACCCCCCCCCCCCCCCCCCCCCCCCCCCCCCCCCCCCCCCCCCCCCCCCCCCCCCCCCCCCCCCCGGGGCCGCCCCGGGGGGGGGGGGGGGAAAAAAAGTGTATTCAGTTTTGCGATCCGTTGCTTGGTTCTTTTTTTAAATCCGGAAAAGGACCCCAAAAGAGTCGTATGGAGGGGTACCTCAAACCAAAAGGGGCTAGCGGGCTACGCCCGCTAACCCCGAAAAAGGAAGGTCCAGGGTTCCTGGACGTGGTGCAATGGAAAATGGCCGCGAAGCGGTCTTTTTCCACTGGTTTTTACCTCGGCTCGAAATTCGGAGACACGACGACCAACACCCAAAAGATCGGACAATTGTTGGGTCTACCAATTTCCCCAAAACATCTGCTTCGCCCCGATGGCTTCTATTCGAATCGCCTTCACAAATCAGAAATGTCGAGAGTGGCATGCATATGCTTGGTGCTCCTATTGGATATGGGTTTTTGGCTCCTTATGCGAAAGCATCCAGTAAGTATTTAATTGCGATATTCCAAAGAATTCTTTAATCTAAGCCTTGCATCGTCAATATTCTTTCGATTTTAGCTCGATTCCTTACACCAGCTCGGGGGTGCATTTGAACACGTTGAGCAAAGTGTGTGCGTGTAAGAAACCACCGTGTTTGCACAAATTTTTCCTAGATCTAAGCGGACGGTACCGGTGCTAGTCTCTTACGATAAATTTGTCACGAAGGGGCTCCGGGATATTCAAAACCAAACCGCCGATCCTGAGGAGCAACTGGCTATAGCACGTCGCCTGGCAAAGGCTATAGAGCTCCACGCAGCTATTGAAACCTCGTACCTGCGAAGGCAGCGGATTGCTTGCATTGGACCCGTCTTTAATCGCAGATGTAAGTGTCTGAGCATTGTACAGGGTGCCCCAATAAGAAACCCCCTAACTCGACGCAGAATGATCGGATCGGAACGATATTTACGCCATTCGAAGGCTCTTAAAATGGCGAGTTTGCAACAATCTTAGCGAAAACCATGTTTTTATGTAAACGCGCCATTTACCGATTTTTTTAATGTTTTGCGGTTTTTCGGGGTTGCATACTAGGTGACTTGCCTCAATTTCGCTGAGCAAAAAGGCCCAAAGTGGCCGTTAGAGCGCACGTTCAGGGAGGGGTCGTATACTCTGCCCAACGTGTATACCCTATCGACGTAGGGACAGCGCGCACTGTCTGACCGTGCCGTGGGAGGCAATTTCCCTCCTTTGCGGCCTGGGGCGCCCCTCACCTTGAAGCTGTGGCTGACTGGTATCCATCCGCGCCTCCCGATCGGGGGTCACGGGTTCGACCCCCGGCCGCGGCAAAAATCTTTTCTTTCTTGCCAAAAAGCGTTTAAATGCTTTACAAAATCGTGGGTTTAGATAAAAAATGGTTTTGAAGATTATTTCAAACTCGCCGTTTGAAGAGCTTTCGAATGGTGTGTGTAACCGCCAAGTGCTTTAGTCACACGTCTCACGGCATGCGCATTGGCAAGCCTGGGGCCAATTGTACAAAACTGCAGAAACGAAACTGGCTGGAAAAACCTAGAAGCAATGAATGACAGGACAATCGATTGCAAGTGGGTGGTCTTTCGTGTAACCAGAGTGCGTATATTTAGATCTCCGATCGCCTACATGACCTGCACTATGACAAAAGTGGCCGAGAAATGCGGCGGGACGCGCGCAATTTTTGACATGTTCCGACTGGCTTTGGCGTCGGTAAGCCAGAATCTTCTAGCAGTCAAAATAGATGTTGAAGGTCGAGGAGCAGAAGGCTTCCGGCTTTGGCGAGAACCTGTCTGTTCCGTGCTTTGCTGAAATCATCGAGGCCGCGTATCTACAGGTTTTCCTGAACGCTCCTGAAGGAGTCGTGGACATTTTTGCTGCTTGATCAGGATTTTGTTTTGGAATAAATAATTGCGCATCGATAAAGTAAATGAGAATACTGTAAGGTACTGCGACGGACGCTCCTTTAAAAACCCTGATATGACGGAAAATTGTTTTATTCGAGCACGGCGTGTTTTTTGGTTTGAGCCTCGACCAAATTGAGGCGCAGACAGTAATGTGCCGATGGATAATGCACGTCCACGTTCTGCCGAAAGTAAAGCGACCCTTTTTAGCTTCTGCCAACTGAAATCGACACTTGGCTTCATAGCCAAAATATTAAAAGAAACATTGCCGCAACAAGAGAGAAAATTGACGACCAATCATTGTCGAGTCATTAAACTTTGCAAACCTTCCCCTACCCGACGGCTTTTATTTGACTCTTTCCGAAATTCGTAAAGAAAAAAGTTTTTTGTTTTTTTGTGAATTCTGGGAAAGTCATTTCGGGAAAAAAGACAGACCTAATGAAGAAGAAATTGCAAGGGAGCAAGAATTAGTTCCTCTCAATCAACCGTCAAAGAAACTTGCATCCAGATCCGGAAATTCTCCAAATATCACGCCAGAGCAGAATGGGACTGGCAACGACCGTAATCCCGAAGACGTCTGCAGCATTTGCAAGCACGCCTTCGAGATGGAATTGCTGTTTAAATTGCGCTGAAGCGACCTATTGCGCAGCCTGTTTTCTGCGTGGGCACCAGTGGAGTCTCGCTGGAGTCCGACCGGCGATATTCCAGACACAGCAAAGAAGTAATGTTTTGTTATTCATTGCGGTAATGACGAAAATGGCCCGATTTTGAATGGAATTAACAAAAATGGAGTCTCTAGACTCATAGAATGACAATGGAGTTGCCTAAGGCTACCTTTACCCTCAGGAGACGATAACGCTTGGGCGGGCTGACCTTCTACGTAATACCCCTGACAGATGTGAGCAGATGAATTCGGGAGTTTTTCGGGAGATTCCGCTGCTTTTTATGATCCGATAGCCCTTTTCACAGTCACTGAATTCATCGTGTTGCGCCTCATCTTTTTCCGTAATTTCTGCTAGTCATAGTATGCCATTCAAAGCTTTTTTATAACTTAATATCTCAAATATTTTTCCAAAGTTGCCACATTGTGTCCCAGGAAAAACGCGCTTTCTAACTAGGGAAGAAAGCCTAGAGATCACACAATCGACCCCCCTCGCCACTCAAAACATCAAAAATACGACAATAAACCCAGAAAAATTTAGAAACCCTAACGCAAATCGGAAACACACACCCAAGATTTTTACAGTGGTGCACTAAGGAAAAGCCCGCGGTAAAAAAAAATTCTTCACAAACCATTTGTCATCCCCTACCCCGTGCCCCCTCATGCGGGAATGGTCACACTATTCGCAAGCCTTTATGACCGCGATTTTCAAATAACTTCACAACCATTTTGTATTCAAACAAGTCACTTAAAAGCGAATTTTGCTGAATTTCGGGTTTGGGGGTTCCATTCGGGGTTAGTTTTCGTACGCCTCAAGTTCCCCAGGTAGTAAGGTTCCCTAAACGGGCCTTTAAAATAAAACATGGCTATGAAGATGGTTGCAAATTCACCATTTCGAAGGCTTGCAAATGGTGTAGCCTGACGAAACCACCCGGACCCCTGCAATTGGGATTAGAGGCGGCGTTTTTTGTTGAGACGCGCCATATTTTATGCAACCGTTACAGGTGTGATGTCGATGCGGATCGAGTTCTTCCACTGCCCGAAATGCGGAATCCCATTTGACGCTGAGCCGGGCATGCCGCATTCTATTGTCATAGTTGACCGCATTCTCAACTTTATCGGCTGCAGACAGTGCTACGGTGGTAGGGCAGCGTCGGCGTACATATCCGATATGTTGAAGCAGCCCAACGTCCTGGTTAGTTTTGAGGAGGCTTTATTGCTGTATTGGGAGCATCAGTTGTGTTTTTAAACAAGCTCTCACGTTTCAGAGAACTGACGGCGGATGGTATTCGATTGGCCCTCTGAAAAAATTGAACTGCGCAGATTGCCGGAAGCCGTTCGGCCTGCGCTGCAATACTTGCAAACGGATTTATTGTACGGAACCCATAATCAGCCGTTATAGGAATCGGCAAAAATGCTGTGGAAAGATACTTTCAACTCTCGATCGACTTAGCGGCATCGAAATTTCTTCGTATAACAAATTCGTTGATCGGCATAACGAGTGTCTCGGATATAACGATAACGATGTCAGAAAATTTTTTGACAAGCTGAATCGCGGAAGCTTTTGTTGCGATTACTGTGACCGGAATTTTGGAGTGGGGCAGGGCGTGGCAATGGCATGTCGGATGATCGCATGCCCGACGTGTCGAGAAAAGGCTCAAATTCCGGAGAGGTGCCGACTCTGCCCGGCCGGGCCGGAGTTACATCTTGAATGGGTAAAGAAACGGATCACCAAGTTTGAACGGAAAAAAGCTAAAGAAGAAAAAGTGGAAGAGAAGAAGAAAGCACGGAGTATGAAACCGCTGATGAAGAAGCGGATGATCAAGAAAATGTGTTAGCTCCTCTCAAGGAAGCCTCAAACAAACTCGCCGTTCAATCGGAAAATTTGCTCAATTCGCAAGAAAACTGCTCAAATTGCAAAACACCCTTTAAAATCCAACACCTTTTTTGTTGCCTAGATTGCGACCAAAAGATTTTCTGCGGCGCATGCGCCTTCCGAGGCCATCAAACTCACAAATATACCGATTTGATGGAAACAAAGTTGACGGAAATGCAAACGTCAACTCGGGACTTCATCAAACAGCACTACACTGGTTTATACGGTAACATTACTGGTGTCCACGAGGAAATCACGAAGAACCACAACGAGCTGCTGGAGGCCAGCCTGGAGAACCTGGAGCTTGTCCCAATCCAAGTTGATTACGGCAGCGGAGAGCAAACCTGCTCCAAAATTCGAGATGTAGCTGAGAGCTACGAAAAATGCTTTGAAGAATATCTACCGCATGCCCGGATTTACAATAGCGCCTTGGAGAAGCTCAAGGAAAAAGTGAAGGAATAATTCGTTGCCTAATTTTGTGTCCGAATAAATAATTTTTTGGCTTATGGTTTTGTTAACAACCATACGAAAAATTGCAACGCTTGTCTTGGGTTTTTTTGGGAAGTTGTTCAGGTCGCAATCGCTGAGTTATTATTCCACCTCCTTTTACAGGGTCTCTAAAGTGCGAATTTCGCGAATTTTATGAAAAAGTTCAGAAATGTGTCTAGTAATGTCATCTTCCCACTAATATCACCCCAAAACATTTTTTCAAAGTTGTGTTTTGAACAAAAAAAAATTGTAAGGTACTCCTGCGTGATTGTGGACAGCTTAGACTGTTAAAATTCATTGCAGTTGCATAAGACAAAATAAAATATATCTCCTTCCTCTAATACAACCCCCAGAGTCACTGAAAAAAGCAGAACCCCCGGTTTTATTAGAAATGATTGGGAGCGAAAGGCTAGAGTCTAGTCGCCTACCCCCTATCGCGTGCCCTTGTGATCGTAGGGATTGGGATGCGGAACTTGACAATCGCACAGAAGAAATTAAAGTTCTGGAAGGAAAAAAGTCCACCATATCGTCAGCCCTGAGGCCATTAAGCTGCTTTTTGACGGCGCTATAGTCCGTTATTTGAATCTCAGCTGCCCGTTATCCGAAAATGTGGACCTACGCTGCGAATCTGTGGACCTGAGCTACATCCCCGATGAACCACTGGCGATTCTGCAGCGGCACAAGCCAAGCCAAAACTACAAGATCAATTTTGGGTACGAAACGGTTTTGCAAACTGATGGAGAGTTAATCAATTGGCTGAATAAGTCGGCCGACAAGCTGTTTGTCCGCAAGCTGACCGCGCCACTAACAGAATATATCAAACTCAGAGCGCCGAGGTTGATATTTGCCGAGCACGGGGCGAAAAGCGCAGCAGTCTACGCAAAACTTCTGATTGATGAATGGATGCGAGGCGAACGTCAGTTTGGAAAAATAGTTTTTGGTTGCGAGCCCTGGTGGCCTGATTGCCCTCCGACGCTTGTGCCCTATGGATTTCGTATGCCGACGGTAGGGCCCGCAGCGCCTTGTGGCTCGTGTTCGTCGAGCTGACGGTGAAACCCTAGTTGGGACCATGCTGACATGGCGTGTGGACTTAAGCGTCGAGGCCCAGCAGGCGCCCTGATTGCTACAATTCACCCTTTCTTGTGTTTGTGTGATGGAATAAATGATGTTTACGTTTGGTCTCGTTCCCTTCAAAAGTTACACCATGAATAACATGATCTTTCGGGTGTTACAGCTCGAACCCCTTTGTTGTCTTTCCCACGGTGCGTACTACTTTTCACTGCACAATCAGGTGGTTCGGAGGATATCTCAAGAGGGGAAGGGATTCAGCTACGTACGATATGCCATTAGTTGCGTAGAGGCTCAGGGATGCCTGCAGACATATCAGATTTTGAAAAATAAGCTGTTTTCGACATTAAAATTAAGTTCTCATGAAAAATCGGAGAGCCTCTGTGCTAGGTGATGATTAGCATACACCGGAGTTGGAATTGACCTATATAATGGGAGAGAGGGAGCTGTTTTCATTTTTGACAAGTGTATTTGTGTGAATTATGCAAAGTAAAGACGGGGCCAGGGTTGCAACGTCGCGAAGCGGCTTTCCAACCCTGGTTCTCTTTTAATTTAGTCAGGGCGTGAATAAAAAAATTTGTGATTCCTAGATCATTCAGCTTCACACTAGCTAAAATGGCGGCTTCGTGATCAGCCCAAAATTCTGCGCAGGCTCGGCTTGATCTCATCTTGAGATCAAAACTAGATTCTTACCTTACCATTGTTGGCAGCATAATATTCGTACCTGGTGCTTATTCGGAAAAAAGGTGCGTGAAGATGATACCATATCTACCATATATATAAATTTCTATGTGCGTGCGCCCGACGTCCGACCGGGAGCTGCAGTTCAGCGCTGGTTCCCATATAAATTTTTTTACACATAAAAAGCGATATTTTTTATGGCCATCAAAAAATCCCCTTGACGTTATCCGAGGCGAACATGAACCTGAATGGCCGATTGAAAATGCAATTTTTATGGGAATATAGGGTGTTATGGTTTCCAACGGGATATATACCGGATTGGGCAGTGAAATGTATCCAAATCCTCGCAATGCGTTGTGTACTGCTTTTGCTGCTTTTGGCTACGGCAGTCAGCGCTACTGTAAGTATCGATACGATAGGAAAAGTAGCGACTTTGCTTTTATTTTTGGCAAAATGCCCGTCGTTCGATGTTTTTGCGAAAATAAGGTAACCGTAACGTTTTCTGTAAGTATGGCAAAATGTAATTTAGTAGCCGGTATTTTATAAGTGTTTTTATAAAATATAGTCATATTTCAGCTAGAAAACAATCCAAGATTTTCAAAATTCAAGTTTTGGTCAAAAACCTGCGATTTTTGGCGGAAAAATCTAAATTTTGTTCATTGTTTAATAAAAATTTGTGAACCCCCCCCCGATAATGCTATAGAACCAAGCCCTTCTGTGTTCCTTTAAGAAAAAGACCCCGCGTAATTGTTATAGTAACCCCGTAAAAATTCGGATGTTATCGGTCGGATGCGGACACCACGGCATCAAGCCAAAGGGTCAACTGATTGTGAGGAGGGTATGTGATACAGGCTTCAAAATGCATTACTCTCTGGATGATGATGATGATGATGAAATTCAAGCTTAAAAATTGAAATGATTGGGCGGTTGGTTTTTGGGGTCATTTTCTTGCCCTCAGTCTTGGACTTGAAAATATCGATGCGATGCAAAATAGAAGAATGACCGAATTTTCTGCTAGAAAAACGTGTGACTACCGTAAGAAAGTTAGCCCCTGAATTCTAGGAGGTTTTTCGTTCTGATAATGAAATGACCCCAACCTAGAATGGTCTATAGATTTTCTCATGTGTTTTCTTCAAACGACTACTAATCCGTGGGCAGGAAAGCCTTGTTCAACCGAATCGGATTGTCCGGAGCACTACATTTGTTTCCAAAACAGCTGTTTGGGACCACCATGCAGCTAAAGCCAAAAACAGCATAAATTGAATATACTATTCACTTGCGTAAAAATGGTGAGGACTGTGGGTGTAGTGTAGCGAATCGCTCAAAACGTATTGAAGTCCAAGGATTTCAGTAGCCGCTCCGTTATCTGCGAACAGACACCAACAAAATCAGCTTCGAAATTCGGCCTGACGGCCGAGAAATCGTCATTACAGAAAACAGACATACTTTTCTCGCTTATAGGATAGGAAATCCAAGCCTCGATAATACATATCTTTTTGTCTACCTGGAGCAGCAGGGTTACCTAGGTTTTCGTTGCCCGTTATCGATCAGAGGACCCATTTGCAACATGCTAGATATACCCTCGAGGGAAGACAAACTAGAGAGGCACCAACCTTGACCCTTTGGCGTAATTCCCTGGCGCACATCAAGGCAAGCCTTGTTAATCGCTTCGTATTTCGGCTCCTTCAGTCTATTTATATATCTTTTGCTTTGTTTCTACCTAAATCCAATCTTCCCCCATATTTTTAGCAGTTTTTGGTATACAGTGTGTCTCAGGAAATCACCCGCCCTCTAGCGTGCCGCAGAAGCGTCCAATTTAGATATCTATCGAAAGCTCGCGGAACGCCGAGAAAAGAAGCACTTTTCATTTGTCTATGCAGGCGTTTTGACTCGCGAATTTAGGAGCAAAGTCCATGAATACTGCAGATTTTATGCAAAATGCGCATTTGACACCTTCTAGATGTTCTGGTTTTTTGACATCAAAGCCCGATGTTGGAAGAAAAAAGTGCGAAAGGAAGGGAGCCAAACCAGCCAAACGAAAAGCCAAACCAGCCAAACGAAAAGCAGCCAAACAATTTAGCTAGCCCACTGGCGTTTTTTGGAGGATTGCGCCTAACACCTTAAATAGCCTGTTAATCTGCTGTACATGACAATGTGCTCTACATTTGAAAATTTAGTGGCTTTTAATTATCTTTTTCTTCTGCCAAATTAACTTGACGCCGATTTTAGGCGTAATGTCGTCGAGAGTCTTCTTCTTCGACTGCGCGGCGTGCCGAAGCCCGTTGGACGATGAGAGGAATCTCCCGCATTCAATTGTAGAAGTCGAAGAGTCGAACTCTGGAGTTGGCTGCGAGAGCTGTTTTCCGGATGCTGATTTTGTGGAAAAGCCGATCGCTGCCTTATTCAAGATGTCGAACATAAAGGTAGGTAACGGAAGCCAACGAACAGAAATCACCAGGAAAAGCCCGTGCTTACTAGTTTCTTTCATTCAACTCTTGAGTATATATGGGTCGGGGCCTGGGGGCGCCGCCAAAAGCCCCTTTCGAGGAGCCTTTTGGGAGCGCCGTGGGTGGGGCCTGGGGGCGCCGTGGGTGGGGCTCTTTTCCGGTATGCAGCGATGTAAATTGCGAAAAAACGTTTTCCGGACGACTTTTTGCAATTTACATCGCTGCATACCGGAAAAGAGCCCCACCCACGGCGCTCCCAAAAGGCTCCTCGAGAGGGGCCTTTGGCGGCGCCCCCAGGCCCCGACCCATATATACTTTGAGGAGCAGCCTGTGCTTTGGTTGGCGGACGATCGCGCACTTTTATTTTGTGTAAAGCAGTTAGCAGAATTTATTTGATCAGAAATTTGATGCGCAAGGCCTCATACTTGACCATAAGTTTCACAAAAGGGCAAAATTCTAGTCGTAAGTTTTAACAAAGGCAATTCGAAAGCCGACCATCTTATGCCCTAGCGGACCAATTCTTATTAGGGAAGGGTTTCAAAGCGCCGAACGGTTGCCAAACGCAAAAAATGCACTGAACGATACCCAGTGTTAACTGACCTGGCTCTTCTAATCATGACCGTTTTCAGAGAACCGAAGACGGCTGGCACGCCATAGGCCCCATGAAGATTTTAGATTGTGGAGGGTGCAATTCCCCATGCATTCCGGACAACGGCGATGAATTACATCGGTGCCAAATCTGTCCGCGCATTTATTGCGCCGAAATCAACACTTGCGAAAAGCTCGTCGCACGTTGTTGTAAGAAGGAGCTGGTGTTATGCTCGGAAGCCGTAACAACGGCGATTAGGCGATATAACCGGAGCGCAGGAGCGCACAACCGGCGGCTGGGCTACACCGAGGACCACTGCAAAAAATTCTTCGCCAGGCTTGCCACCGGACACTTTCACTGCGATTATTGTGTTCGCGATTTTAAGGTGGAGATGGGTGCCCCCATGTCGTGTAAAATGATCGCATGCCCAGAATGTCGTGAAAAGGCCGGTTTGCCGAATCTATGCAAACTTTGTCGCCCCGGGCCTGAGACACACCTTGAGTGGGCGAAAAGAATATTGAAAGAATGGGAAAGGAGAAAGGCAAAAAAAGGCAATGAAGACAATGAAAAGACGACTGAAGAAGGAAACGGAAAAGAGAACCGGCCAGCCCTCGTTAATGATCATCGGGATCCCGGAACTTCTCCCAATATTATGCCAAAACAGCATGGCACTTACATTGTCTCGCACCCCGAAGACATCTGCAGAAATTGCAAGAAAACCTTCGTGGTCGAAAGTCTGTTTTGCTGCTTGGACTGTGAAAAAGAAACTTTTTGCGGAGCCTGCTATGTCCGCGGTCATAAGGAACACAACTATATCGAATTGAAAGACAAGCTACTGACAGAAATGGAAGACACGACGCGAGATTTTGTGAGCCAGCACTATGAGGCGCTACATCGCAGGGGCCAAGACATCCAGGCGGAAAATGCGAAAAATGCGAACCAGTTGCTGGCGAAGAGCTTGGAGGGTCTGAAACTCGTGCCGGGCCAAACCGATTATGCAAGCGGAGCGAAAATATGCGTTGAAGTCCGCGTTACGGCTGAGAACTATGAAAAATGCTTCGAGAAACTTTTGCTGCACGTCCACATCTACAACAATGAGCTCCAAGAATTGACGCAGAACCTCGCTAATTCCTTGCAACAGTGCGCGCCCAAATGAATTTTTTTTAGCTTTTTGTTGCTTAATTTGAATAAAGTGATGTTGTCTTCGAAGGCTTCCCGTCTCACACATCAAATTATGAGCAACGACACAGTAACAATTAAAGGTTTAGTTAGAGCTACCCTCTTCCACGATGAATAAGCCTTCAGAAGGGTCACACACACAGTCACTTGGCGCTCATTCTCCTGAAAACTAGGACTCCCCGAATTAAATAAATTTATATGCGGAAAGTCCTTTTATGACTTTATGAACTCAGCTACGAAAATCACCGCTGCACACGTACAGACAGATTCTACAGGCATTTAGGGGCGGACGGGTCCTTTCTTTCGCCATGTATTGACGCCGAAGCGACCGGTTTGATTCTGTAACAGAGGCTTTGAGACATACTCCATACTCCATTCCCTAGATAATTAAATTTTTAGCCGTGAAGTTCCATTCTGCAGAGTAATCTTACGAAAGTTTAAATTCAATAAAAAGTACAGGGTGGTCGAAAAGTTCTGGCAAAATTTTGGGGGCCCTAGAAATTCGAAGAAGTTTGGGATATACACGAATTTTTACATGTTATTCGTAACGGGGTAGGAAACACGCCCCCAAAAACTAGGGTTGAGCAAACGATCTTTTGGGCTGACCAGAGGCCAAACTTGCGTCTACACAAACTGACCCGGCGCGCATCAGATCAGTTGCAACGTTTGCCCAAACTTTGTAGGGGAATAACGGTTTTGCGATCCAATCAAGATCGTGGTGAATGTAAACCCTGGCGTAAACTAGCCACAACAACCCGCACTTTCAATCGCCAGATTTGTTCGGAATGCCGTTAAAGGTACACTAAAATCTCGCGCAAAAAGTGGGGTCGTGTTTGGAGATTCGGGCCCTTTGTCGCGGATGGCCCTGAGCCTTCTTATCCCCTTCCCTCTCCCCACCCTCCGTCTCTCCCATGGCCGAGTGGTCTAAAGCGCTTGCCCCAGGCGAGTGTCGCGGGTACGGTTTTGCTCCGCCGCGAGCGCCTACCGTAACCCTGTTTGCTATTCCGCGGACGGTTACCGGCCGGTAACCAACCAAACGAGACTTTAGTGTACCTATTAGACTCTTTTAAGGGGTGGTGGACAAAGATTTTCTGTGGAATTTTGTTGGCCACATCGCCGATTTTTTGCGCATTTGGAATACCCTGTAGTAACCGAACGGATCCAAAAAGACAATGCTTTCTGGTGTCTTTGGCTTCCAAGTCCTTGCCACTCTTTATCTGTTTTGCCGTAATTTTGACGATGAACTGAGGTTTGGAAGAAGCCTTTCGGCGTCTGGAGCTTTTTTTATAGCTTTATTGTCTCCGTATCCTTCTAGGTCCCGAAAAGTTAAGTCAGAAAGTCATGCGCGTCTGAAAATTTTAGCGCGCGCTGACTACGGTATGTCCGGTGCAACGAGAATCTGATTTTCAGCCGATATATGCGAAGCATCTGCCTATATTGCCTTTGGCTAAATGGGCCTGTATGCGGGAAAAAAGTTAAACATTACTCGCTTCATTAATTCCCGAAGGCAGATGGTTGCCGTCCGAAATAGCCGCTTTGTTTTTCTGTTTTATCCAACGCAGAACCATTACCCCCTTCCCCATTTTGCAATTTATAGTGGTTTTTGAAAGCCTTTCAGGCTAGCTCGAGTTCTCCGCACGATACGTGTTTGTGCAGTTATTCTTCCGTAACTTACTATTTTAGAAACCTCAGGTTTGTTTAATCCTGATAACTGATCAAATTAGTCCGTTCAGCCTGGATACACCTAAAAATGATCAATTTGACCCCACAGGAACTTACGGATCTCTCTTGGGGCGAATTCCGTGCCCTTCCCAAAAGCCGAATTGGCCTGGAAAGGGTTTTTCTCAATTCTCAAATATTTCCCATTTCTTGTAGTAAAAAGATTTGCTGCTAATTTGAGAAATTTGCCCCTGGTTTTCTGCCCAAGAAAATGGCCAAATTGACAAATTGCCCCGATCACGACTTACGACTTCTCACTGAATTTGAAAGTTAATTTAGCTAATTTTGAAAGCTCAAAATCAGTTTTTTCTAGGCGAACGACCCTTCTAAATTTCTCGTTGTCAGGTCGGTTTTTGTTAGGTTCCACCATTCGTCTACTTTCTATGGTCTTTAAAGGTCTTTAAAGGATTGCGCGCGGGAAAGAAGATGTCTCTGCGACTCTCCCCTGGGCGTGCTCCCTGACCAGTTGGCCATTTGCCAAAAAAAATAAGCGCGGCCAGAGGGGACAACAGTTGCCGCCCTCCGTATCTCTTTAACGACCTTTTAGGTCAGATGCGAAAATTTCTTCATTTTTTTTGTCTTTAGCATTTGGGCCGTCTATCAAAACTTGATTTAGAGCTCCAATGGCCAAAACCATGGATATGTTCAACTGTCCGGATTGCTCTACGCCCTTTTCTGCGCAGTACAAAGTGTGGAACGGCGCAACGGCGATGTTGGAACGATGCGATGGGGCGGAAAGGATTTGCTGCGCGGGCTGCTGCAAGAAAGGCGGCACCGTGGCCGAATTCATCACCAATCTACTCCATCAACCTAACATAAAGGCAAGTCATTATTCGCGACGGTTTAGAAAATTAGAATCAAAACATAAGGGTCGTCGCCCAGCGACTTTTCTGGATGCGCAAAAATGATACATTTCCGAGTCCATGATTTCCGAGATTCTGATTTCGAGATTTAGAAGGAAAGGAAGGAGGGCGGAAAACCCATTGATCTAAGGGCGTAGCGTAACAAAACTATCGTCCTGCTCGTTCGGGTATTTTATACTTTACAGGTGGAGTAGGCGTGGTGGTACTCAGAGGGTAACGGGGCGAGATAACGGGGGGCGGGGACTGATTACTATAAATTTTCAATTTAATTTTGGGACTTCGATAATTCCATTCTATAGAGCGTCAAAAATCATACTACGAAAATAAATTTCAGCCCTAAAGATGTAAAGCTAATTTTTTTTTATAAAAAAATAGTGTCTGTGGTGTGTGGTGTGTGTGAGTGCCATTGCATCCACTTCCGCCCTGCCGGAGGATATCTCGAAGGGGAGGAATTTTAAGGTATGTATGAAACGTCATAAGATGCAAAGGCCTGGAGATGATTGCACGCATATCAGATTTAACAAATTAACCTATTTTCGACATTAAATTTAAGTTTTTGAAAAGCTTTGTTAGGAACCATTAGCGAAAACGGGAAGTGGGGATTGGAATATTTTCAGTCCGGTAGTTTTGAATTTTTTGTCGATTGAATTTAGGAAAATTCCATTCAGAAGGATAAAAGGGGGGCCAGGATGAAAAGTCCGAAGCGGCTTTTCAAACCTGGTTAAAAACAATATTTTTATTGAATAAAGAAAAATTGATGAAAATCCATGGGCATAGGATAATGGCGGGAAAACGTAATTTTTGAGAATCCCTCCGCCCTGTTATATAAAATTTTTTTAAATATGGTTTTTTTTTTCGGGGACCCATAGTCTTTTATCGCTTTTTGACTTCCCAATACTTTCAGAGACGACAAGATGGCTGGTTTCCGACAGGGCGGCTATCGGCGCTGGCCTGCCATCGTTGTTCGAGTCTCATCCAACTTTCTAGTACCCCCAGAGGCGGTTTCTTCGACCGTTGCCACCATTTTTGGTGTTGCACCTGCTTTCAGAACACTGACACACCGTCGCAAACATGTTGCAACAACAAACTGTATGCCGGCAGCATGGCAATGATCCTTGTCTTCCTCGAGGGCTACAATTTTTACCTTTACGAACATAACGAAAAGGTCCGTCCTACCGCCTCCAAGCCGATGAAAGCTTGCATCAAGCCGGCCAACGGGAAATCGGGCAGCGACCACTGCGGAATGTACTTTACTGGTCCATTTGGCGCGTCAACATCGCATCAAAGACTCGCTTGCGCAGAATGCCGCAAAAACGGAGCTACTCGGAGTGAATGTCAGCTATGCCCAAAAATTCGCCTCGAAGACTTTCTAATGCCAGTGAAGCGCACCGAGGCTCTGGTCAATGAACAAACGAACGAACGAAACAAGGAGAATGTGAAGCCAGAAGAAATACCGTGCCAAAACTGCCACCGGAACTTCCAGATCGTAGACCTTTTTTCATGCCAGCAATGCGCGGATCGGGTCGTTTGCGGAACCTGCGCTTTCCGGGGACATCAAAATCACAAATGTGTCGATTTGCAAAAACGGAAATTAGACGAGCTCGAAATATCCACACGAGAATTCGTGCAACAACACTTCAACGGGTTGTACGGAAACATTTCTGGAATCCACGCGGAAATCGTTGAGAATCAAAAGGCGCTGCTGGAGACCTGCGAGACAAAGTTCAAGCTGATCGCTGTCCAGAAGGATTACGATACTGGATCTAGGATTGGCACCGAAATGCGTACTGCAGCCGAAAATTATGAAAAATTCTTCGAGAAATATCTACCACATGCCCGCGTCTACAGTACTGGCATTCAGCAATTGAAACAGAGCTTTGAGAAAGCGTTGAAAGAATTTGAGCCCGAATGATTCGTTTTATTCTGTATCCGCTTTTAATAAACTGTTATCGCCACAAACGTTCTATCAAAAAGGCCTCTAACGAAATAGGTACTCTTCAATAAACTAGGTTGTCTCAAAGCTCAATCCGGAATAAAATTTGGTATAGCGATCAATAGCGTTAAAATATCAGATTGGAAAGAAAGTAATGGCACCAAATCTTGTAACCGCTCGAAAGACCCGTAGGAAAGTCCAACACGCCAATGGACAGAGGCTGTTTTGCGCAGAGTTCATTGGGAATTACTGGAATTATATCGATCTTTTGGCCTCGATGGTATAACTGTATGTCGAAGTCACAAAAAGGTAGGTCCACCTTGTTTTTGACCATTCTTTCTAGCCAGGTCAGATAGTCAAATCGAAGATATTGTGGCGCCTGAAAGGGGTGACCATTTTTTATAGCCAAGTCAAATATTAGGTTGTAGCGCTAGAAAGGGGCATTTTTCGTGTACCTCA